TAATATATTTATAATATATTCTATTTATGGTTTTATGCTTAGTTTTTAGTCTTCATTGTCTGAGGAAAAAAGTGACAACCTCTAATCTGAATGAATGCTTCTACACATGCATGCATTTTATGCGCATCTTAAACCCATATATATATGCATACACTGTATTTCATCAGAGCTATTGAAAGTGAATTCCATTGAAAAATGTGAAGAGTTGAATTGTGAAGAAAAATGCACATTGGTTCTCCCTAAAATAAAGGAGTCCAAGAAAGTAAGCTACAAAGTAAGCCACTCACATATCCTGTTGGATCTGAATATAGAAGGACAGTAGATACTTCTAAAAGATACTAATCTGAGATAGTGTACAAGAAATTATGTTTCTAGAACATGTTTCTTTCTAAGATGAAAGCAACTTTCTGACATGAACCATGCTAAATCTGTGTGGAATGCAGGGAGTAAGGTTTATCTCATACTATTTTAATGCATAAGAAAAAAAACTACAGTGTATCTTGTCATCATCTTAGGGAAGATTTATGAGGCCTTCATGCAAGATCAGTAAGTATATGTAATGAAATCCTTAGCAGGTTTAAAATTGGGAGTTAACAAAAGGTCCGTTTTGCAATACGTAATTTAGTCACTGGAATTACCAAGGGCGATTTTGTAACATTACTCTACACTTTAGCCAATCATAGCTATAATTGGAGCATGTTCTTTTGCCTGTGAGCACTGCAGTGGAAAAATATGTTTGTAACTATCTATAAAGAGAGAAGGCTGCGTTCTCCACCATTTTTTTATAGGAGGTTCAGGTGTACCGTTGTAAAGCAATTACAATTGCCTGTGATTTGTTAGTAACGGGTCTGCACCCATACATCCTGTAAACACGGTTGAGTAAAACCTCATGAGTGAGCTAGTCTCAGTGCAAACTGAAACTGGCTTAGGATCTTACTGAAGTCATTTCATTCTTCAGCATCCTTTACAAAGCTCTTCAGTCTATCACTTTCTTTCCAACTTTAGACCGCTAATCCTTTAGGTCTGGTAAGCTGGGAGTTCTGAATGCAGAGGCTAACATGCATCACTTCAAGAAATCCTTCTTCTCAATGATTGAAAACACCAATTTCCATTCTGTGATCTGTCAAGTGTGTCAGCAGAAGTCTGTTCTCCCTGGTCTGGCTATATATCCTGAAATGAAAAAGCCAAAAATAGCTAGTTCTCCATCAAAACTTCTTGACTAAAGCTCATTTTTCTGTAGACTGCAAAGCATCCTGCTGCTTCTTCCAAGATTTCACAGCTTTTGGTCATAGTCGCAATTGAGCAATTATGCAAATTCACCCTGAAAAATTATCTTCTTAGCACAGGGGAGTCAGGTATTTGAAAAGATGTTTGAATTCCTTGACAGCTCTAGGTTGTAAGTACAAAGGACAAATTTGCTGGTAACTACCATGATAAACAGAAATAAATACTTATCTGAAGAGGAGGAGAGAGAAGTGTTGAAGTGTTTTTAATTTGTGTCTACCCTTTTAGCCTGAATCTTAGCTGGTGATAAGGAAGTGATTACTTACACCTTGAACTGAGAAGGATGGAAGCTATTGCATTGCAAGCTGATACCTGGAAAATAGACATTAAAAACTGCTGGGAAGGAGAAGCATGGTATAATGAATTATATATTACAAACTAGACTCAAGGCAGCTAGAGACAGCTTCTCGGAAATTATTTGAAGTTGTTAGTCCTTGCTAATCATGTGATATTTTGAATTTATTCATTAAGCACCCATCTTTTATTTACATTTGAAACACGCATGATATTGGTGATATGCTCCACATTTATTTGCCTTTTGTGTGGCTTTTCATGCCAGGAATACAAGGTGTTGTGGAGGCTTATCAGAGCTGCCTTCCCAAGCTGCAGCTGTATGGGCCGACAAACATTGCTCCCATCATCCAGAAGGTGGCAAAATCAGCATCAGAGGAAACCAATACCAAGGAGGCCTCGGTAAGGGCGTCATGCTGTGTTTGGCTTTTTTCTTGTCTTATGATGGGTCTCTTGTAGGCCATCAAAACAAGGTGTTTTCATGTATGTGAATCATGCCTTCACAGTTTTCACTAACTGCCTTCACAGAAGGCAGCTTGAGTCTGTGTCAGCTGGAGCAATGTATCTAGTCTTTATAGCTTCCATAGTCACAACTTTAAATTCTTTCCCCACTGAGCTGTTTTACTGTAACACATCCAGTTTTTCACTGTGGAAACATAAATGGCACCACTAAGGTTACAAAAATTTAGGGCCAAGCCCTAAGGTGTTGATCATACAAGAAGATGA